TATATATATATAGTTTATTTAAAAAAGAGGGGGGGGAATTAAAAAGTCGGAAAAAGATAATGAAAGGATATCTTGTCATAAGCTTACACGATTATATCCGCATTTTTTAAAAATATTTTTAAAAGTGTTTTATTTTAATAAATTTTCCTCCTCTCTTTTCATTAACCTTCATATAATACTATTTTCCATGTTTTCTCTATATTTTTAACTTATTTTATAAGTTCTATATGCTTGCAGCTTATGCTTAGCGACTAAACTTATTATTTTTCTTAATTTCTTTCGTTTTTCTCTCTTTTATTTATTTTTTTTTTGTCTTTATGGTGCTATATATACATATATACTAAAACATTTATTCAATTTACTCAAATATTTACTATTTCCTAGATGGTCCTGCAGTTGTAAGAGTAAATATGTTCATTCGGAGCATCAGTAAGATTGATGATGTGAAGATGGTAAGTAACAAACACACAGATTTACTTTCACTGTTTAACTTTAAAATAACAATTCAATAAAATACTTTTGTTGGACATCTGATTTTATCACTTTAACAAATAGTGTCAAATAATTTTGTATGTGCAGATTTACTCATTTTATTCTTGCTTCCCACACTGAGAAAAATAGTGAATTCTGGTTAAATGACCATATTGTTTAGTAATAACATTTCTGTTTTTGTTTTTTTTTTAAATTCAGAAAAGAAAGTTTCAAAAAATTTACAAAAAAACATATTTCTGGTTTTTAAATTAATAGTTCTTGTTACCATACATTTTGTAACACATAAGCAATAGCATTTAGAATGTTCCTGGAATTTCTCGTTTATGTCCTTTTCAATAAATTGTTTCCTATTGTTTTCAATAATTTACCTGCATATGTATTTCTATTATTTTCTCAATTTGCCTTTCTATATTTTGTCATGATTTTCTGAATAATATCACATGTGTACATTTTCTATTTTAAAATAATTTTGATTTTTACACAGAAAACTCTGTAAATGGATCATTTGTATTAAAAATCATATGTATAAGTGTTTAAAAATACAAGAATAGTTAAGATATGGATTTTTTTTTTTTGCTTTGAAATAAAAAACAAATTTTGTAAAGAAAAAAACAAAATTGCTAATGTTTTCTGCTTGTCTTACAATTTATTTGTCATTTTTTTTTCCATAAAATATATTTCATTTTGAAAATTAAAGCAAAATAATAATGAGCTTTTTCTTTTTTTTTTAAAAAAAAAAAACTCTCATTTCGAGATTTAAAAATGTTAAATTAACATTAAACATTTCTCAAAGATTTTAAAAATACATTTTATGAAATTGAGCAGTATAATCGAAACCTGTTTACAATAAGAAAAAAATATCTATATCAAAATCCTTAAATTATGCCTTTTTCCTGACAGTCTAAAAATATACGTTCTTCTAAGAACAATGATAGATAATAAAATAGATAATCAGTAATAATGATAATAAATTATGCCAATTACCGTATCATTTATGTCTCGGTAAATGTTTCAGAATTTGTAATTATAAGCATAAATAGTAGTTTATAAGCATTCAAATATATTTTTATTGTTTAATTTGTAATTAACTATTGCAAAATATGATTTACAATTTGTAATTCAAGTATATATCTGGTAATTGCGGTAAAGATAGCATATTATTCAAATTTCATGTCACAAAAATTCGTCTCAAAAAAGGGTATTTTTATTTAGAAAAAATACGATAAATATACTACATTAATTCAAAAGCCAAAATTTAAAACTAATTAATTCAAAAAATTCCTTAAAAATAATTATCTAATCCCAAGACTTTTAAGGCGTTACGAAGCAGCATCCTTTGGCTGACTTAAGTGTTTTAGTAAATTTACCACGTAGTTTTATTGATTTTAATGTATGTAACTTTTCAAAATTGTTTTAGAATTTTCACTATCTTATCTGATTTTATACGTGTGCTTTACTTAACCTTTTAATCTGTTTTTAAAACCGTGTGTTTGGCGCAGTATGTCCTTTTTTGGACCTTGTGCCACTAAACCTCACATTCAATTCAATTGGCTGACTTAACGTGACTTAATTTAAATACTTTGAAAACTTAATTTATAAACTTTAAAAATATATTGTAGTTTGCAAGCACATATTTTTCGTTCCTGAAATAAATTTAAGCATAAACGTTGATTTTTTTTTTTAAAAAAATAAAGAAAAAAAGCTTTAAATTATATTTTATTCAGTAATTTTTTAATCATTTTTTAATCTTTTAATTACACTTCAAAATTTAAATTTTATGACATAAAAGTCTTAAATCCATTTAAAATCCTTTTAAATATTACAAATTTATCTTTTAATGTGCTATTTAAATTTCAATAAGTGTTTTATATAATTTGATAATTTTCTAAATAGAACTAAGATTAAGTTTCGGCTTAAAAATCCATCTCGCATTAATTACATCTGAACAAAAGGTTTTAGATTAAGGTTCCTTACATCGAAGAAATATTAAATCCCCCAGATAAAAACCTTAAAAAATCGAAGGCTTTAATTTACTACTTTCAGATACTCAAATGGCATTTATTAAAACCCTTATTTCCCATTAGTTTGGTAGTTAATTAAAACCTGCTCTCACTAAAGCCTCGTATAAGCCGTTATTAAAATACCCTCTACACACCCTCTAACAAGCACTTAATCACAAGTGATTTGATCTCATCGTTTTCCAAATTTCAATTGGATGGGCGGTTACCAGCCAACTTTCAATCGGTCATTCTTTCACCTAATGAGTTTTCGAACGCCACTCCCACCTCTTTTGTTGGAGAACCAAAAGACAGATTTAGAATATCGAAGCACCTACTTTGGAATTCCAATTACTTACTTAGTCGAAATCATTTCATCCTATCACTTCTTTTATTAATCATACAAGTTGAAATTGCGAACGCTAGGAATGGATTTTCTCAGACATGGATGAAGGTAGTTGTAGATTGTCCATTTATTAATGCTTTCGGTTGAAATCATTTCAACTGTTTAAGTGAATTTGCAATAAATAATTTGTAACCGATGCTTTTAACTTTTTACCCTCAATGAGTTTATTTTAGAAATATTTTAAGTTGATAAAGAGTGAGTGCAAATATGTAAAATTTTGCTTAATATTTAATTATCTTCACTTGTTGTTTTATAATCGTGTTTATTCGTAAAAAAATTGTCGGGGGAAAGTGGGGTAAGTAATATTCTCCGTTTAGTTTAAAGAAGATAATATTTCGTAAGCAAGAGGTTTCAAGTTTTGCAAATATTAAAAATAATAGAGAGAATTTTCAATATACGATTTTATTAAATACTTTATTGTTTTTCCTTGTTTTTATTAATCGAGTACGTTCGCAAAAGATTGATGAAGAAAAGAGGACCGAGAAATATTCTTCCTTGAAAAATATTACTCAAAAAGATTATCTTACGTAGGTAATAGGTTTCAGAATTTATAGTTTTTTGAACACTAAGAAAAACTTACAGAATAGATAGATAAAAAACAGGTATTGGAATATATGCAATTATTTGCATTTATGAGACATCTTTCAGAAGGATTCGAGAGACACGAAAACAGCCACAAGAACCATGACTAACTTTTCTAGCCCCTCGGATCCAAATTTTATTAAGTATGGTAAAAAAAAGCAGTGGAAAAAAATACATTTTTGTCTATTTATCAAAATATGAGCCTAGATGCATTGAAAAAGAATATTAAATTTAAATGAGTTTGGCTAACGATAAAACTTGAATTGTAATCTTAAACGCCAACATATTACGGCAAACTTGAACTTCAGCGGTAATTGTAAGTATTTATATCTCATTGGTTAATATTAATAATGCAGCTGGAATCTTTTTTAAAAGTAATGATTTCCGAAGTATTTTCTTAGAAAAATGGTTAATGCTTTTATTTACCAGGAAGAGTATTACATGCAAATTTAAAAGGTAACCAATATAGAAAAACTAAAAAACGCACAATGCCTATTAATGGAAAGACATACATTTGGTGTAGTTAGTTTTCATAAATAATTTTAGATTTTTATTCGGAAGCTTTAAATCATCTAATTATCTCAACGGATGAATTAGTGTATGAAGTTAAGCATAGGTGACTCTAGTGTTTAAAATTCGTAATAAGCTTAAAAAACATGCAATACTATATTGTTTTTGCACTGTTTACAATATGACAACTGTGCTATTTACCATTCAATTTGAAAACTCATTTAACTTTAACTGAAGACATAAAAAACAGAAGATAACGCACGAAACATGCCAACCTTTACACTTTATTCATGTCGTGATGTTAATTTTATTGCATCTCTTTACGGCTCTCGACATTTTAGAATTTATAAAATACAAAAAATTCTTATGAATGATAAAATAGCCTGCAAATTTAAACGCAAATTGCAATAATAAAGCTTACAAGAATGCCAAGCAGTCTCGTAAATATAACACAAGCGGAAGAATACCACGGAAGTTTTCTGAATTCCGCTTTGGTTTAAAATCTATTGATTGTTTTAACTCAGTGCCCCATCAATTTTACCCAACTGATAACTTTAATGAAAGAAAATAAACGAACTAAACTCAATTACCCATCAATTGTACCCAACTGATAACTTTAATGAAAGAAAATAAACGAAACTCAATTCCCCATCAATTGTACCCAACTGATAACTTTAATGAAAAAAAATAAATGAACTAAGAAATTTAAAGCTACTCACACAATTACGGGTAATTTAAAAACTTTCATGCAGTTCTAAAAACGAATTTTATTATCGTTTAAAGCTAAATAATAACAATATTTTCTAATTATTTACATTTGATAATACCAGATTATTTTAGATTATTTTTATGGTATACTTAATCAATAATTATTCTTAAATAAATTGTGATTTTTCAGGAATACAGCGTACAAATGACTTTGCGAGAACAGTGGAAAGATGAAAGAATGCAGTTTGATGATATGAATGGTCAGGTTCGATATCTAACTTTAACAGACCCTGATAAGATTTGGAAACCCGACTTATTCTTCTCAAACGAAAAAGAAGGCCATTTTCATAATATAATCATGCCAAATGTTCTACTCCGAATTTACCCTAATGGTGACGTCCTTTATAGTATAAGGTAAGTCATTTTTTTCTTCGTATTATATTTTATTTAAGGTGTTCTATATCAATACTAGCTTAATCCACTTTTTTACAATTGATTTGGTGCTTTACTTTAAACAATTCTAATTAAAAAATAGGTCCTTCCATTTTTTAAACACTTTTTGACAAAAGCAAATGTTAAATTTTTTAAAGAAAAGTTTCAAAAATAAAATTTAAACTATACTAAAATAAATATTAAGCATGTAATCTACTAATACTAAAATATATATTTTTTTTAATTTTCAAATAAGATGCATTTAGTATTAATAAGAGATTAATAAAAGAAAATCTGACTTTGTTATGATGAATTCTTATCAAAATCAGTTAGATCTAATCTATACATACTTTCTAATTACAATATTTGCTTAAACTACAATAACTATAAATTGTTTTAAATCCTGGAAACAATTTATAGTAAAAATTTTTACTTTAACCTTTATACTATTGTTTTTTACCCACATTAACGATAAACTTTTTTTGACCCAAAAAGTAGTTTACTGTTAAAGTAATCTTTATACTGCTGTATTTTTTTTTATTATATTAACTATAAACTGTTTTTTACCCTAAAATCTTCTTATTGTTAATATAAGCTTTATACCGTAGTTAAAGTAATCGTTATAGTTTTTTAATTACACTAACTATAATCTGTTTTTTAACAATTTTTTGTAATGTAATCCTTAAACTGTAGTTCATTTAATCTTTATAGCTTTTTTTATAACAGTTAAATCAGGCATACGGTACGGATGAAATACAGTATATAGATTACACTAACTATAAACTGTTTTTCACAGTTTATAGCTAGTGTAATCTGTTTACTGCAGTTAATCTAATCTTTATTCTTTAAATATGTTAACCCAAAACAGTTTTTCCCCATAAAAGCTATCTAAAAATAATCATAAACTTCGGTTTGTACTAAAACTGTTTGCCTAAACTCAAACACTTGGATGATTTGCGCTTTCTTTTCGTCTTTTAAAGTTTGAAAGAATAAATGTACCTTTTATTTCTTTTTTTAAGACCAAAGGCTTTTAATACTAATGCAACATATCCTAAAGTAATCTTCGAGGATCGTGATTTTAAAGTTGGAATTAGATAAGAAAGTAATATTGACATTGAAAATAATATTTATCACATTTCAACAAAAAGAGAACGAGAGAGAAACCATCTGAAACTTTTAAATATAAAGAAAAAATTTCATTCGTAAAGAAAGCAAACATTTACTAAATTTTTCTACAACAAATTTCATTTTTGATCAAATATTTTAGATATGATAGACGATAAATTTTCTTTATTGCAATATTTCACATGTATGTTCCCTAAACTATATGAACAAGGAGACAGCATTACTGAAAACAAGGAGGATTAACAGATTTAAAGGGTTGGTATATGCCTGAAGAAGAACTACGAACGTAATTATATTTAAATTTTGGAGTTCGTACTTACTTAGTTAAAATTATACTTTAGAAACAAACTGATTGGCTTTTGTCGTGAAATTTAAAAGTTTAGCTCTTGGGATTAATCGCAGAGAACCATAATAATAAGATGCAGTGTATATGTTACCGTTAAAGTATGAAATCCGTTATTTTGTAGAATACCTAGTTATTCCATGAAATAACTGATCGTGTCCGTTAAAGTGTAAAACTCTCTTGTATTTCACGGTTTAACTAGTTATTTTATAGAATAACGATCTGCAACCCGTTAAAGTGTAAAATAATCTATATCATAATCATATATCCTGCACGACAAATACATTTACCTTCCACCCCTACTGCATTTACGAACTATTCAACAAAAAATGTTTTTGTTTTAGAAATAATGTAATTCCAAGTATCATTTTAGTAATCCTTGTTGTAACAAATGATTTTCTGGTACGTTTTCATAAATACCATTTATACGCTGCATAAATGAGATAAATTGCTTCTTTTTCATTTTAATTGTCTATCATTAGTTTATTTATAGAATACCTAGTTATTTCATTTTAGATCAATTGTTTATTTTACACTTTAACTGTCTCTCATTAGTTAATTTATAAAATATCTAGTTATTTCATAGAATAACTAGTTAAAGTGTCAAATTAATAACATATTACACACTTTAACGGACACGATCAGTTATTTCATGGAATAACTAGGTATTCTATGAAATAACTGCATTATATACTTTAACGGTAACATATATACTAACATGCAAGATGGCTATTAATTTAACCTTGTTAAAAATGCTTGCTGATGTGTAAATAATGTCAAAATAGTACCCATTTTTATATTTTCGATATTAATGATTACACTAGTTAATTAAAATGAACATTTTATAAGGTGCTATAGATATGTTTAGTATGTTTTGTTTAGTTATCAAATATGGAATTCAGTTTTACGAGTAAATCCGCTTCCTTCCATTACCTTGTCCAGTTTTACACATTCGGTCTTTGTCCCCTTGAATCAATGCACTTTTATCCCCTTGTGGTTCAAACTTTATAAAGATGATGGCTGTGCAATAGTTATTGCAAAAAATTTTATTTAAATTGCGTCTGATTATTGACATTAAAATCATTACTTTTAAAATCATATAAACTGAAACTTGCATATTTTAATGTATAATAATATTCACTATACACTTCTGACAGTGATAACAGCATCTAGGTGAATTTTTCTGAAAAACAAAGAAATGTTATCTGGAAAAACACAGCTTCATTGTCTAAAATATTTCCATCTTCAATTGTGACAAAATTTATTTGCCTACATTACTGTTTATATAAACATTTATTTATTAAGAAACAATGCAATTTATACAAAAAAAACTCGTAAGTAAAGCAAATAAATCTGTAAACTAACATGAATAGTACGTAATATACGTTTTACGAAGCTTCTGTGCTTCCAATACACCCTACCATGGTAAATGCATAAAATTATCAAAACTCTGTTCCAAAATATATTATCTAACCAAAAGTATACGGACAACTACTTGAAGAAGATCAGGACATAGTGTGGGGTTGTCTTTCATGTTTCGCCTAGCGTTCCTTGCTTCCTGTGGTCGGACACATGAGCACTGGTCTGTATATGGACATTCTGAGCATTGCTACTCTCCTCAGTTCTATGACAATTTTTATGGGAAGACCAGTTCATTTTTCGGAGTTATAACTGCTCAATGTACACGTGAAGATTTCCTTTGCCATTGATGAAATGGGATGTCAGAAATTGGATTTATCTTCTCAGAGCCTCGATTCTAAATCCAACAGAGCATCTTTGGAACGAATAAGAATGCAAACTGCGTAGCCAATCAAAACAACCCTATTCACTGACAGTGCTCACTTCAGCTATGATGGACACCTGAATGACAATTCCAATGACCAGCTATCAAAAGTGGTAGTAAATCTACTCAGACTGGCTGTTTTCGATTTCAGAATCTCCAAGAACTCCTCAGTAGTTTTCAAGTAGATAGTGTAGTATCCATGTGTACCAAAACCAAATCTAAGGTCCCAAAATCAAACCAATTCTATGTCCCAAAGAACAAAGTGACAAGAAATAAATACTACTCAGGACACAAAATTTGTTTATTCATGAACTTGTAATGTGCTTTTCTGAAACAGATAATATCAACACTAACTTTATACAAGCTATAGCAATTTTCAACACAAAATATGTGCTAAATTTCTGCATAAACAATGACTCTTTGAACTTTAAACTAAACATATTTTACGATAAACTATTTTGAAATGCTTCAAGTAGTAAACTCATATTATGAGCTGAGAATAAATAGCCCCGATAAGAACCGATTCCGTTTTACAGTTTCAATACTAAAGTGAGAAAGTCCTCTATATCTAGAATTGGAATATAAAAAAAAAAATTCTTTATTCCTCTCCCTCTGAGGAATACCTGTCGGCTGTCGAAAAAAAAACAGCTTCGAAAAGTCATAAGGTCTCTTTCTTTATTCCAAAGATATTCTTTTACATTACTTCGAACTTTTCAGATAGCTATGAGAAAGAGCTAGTCGGAAAAAAAATGGCGCAATTTTTCTCTTTTACGGAGCGCGTGGCAAAAAAGACAAAATATACCATGCACATTCGAATATTTCCCATGAGGCAACAGGAGGTGATTTTTCTGCTTGAATGGCAATACTTCTTGCCAAATTCATTCGCCGAGACAGTCGTTGTAATTCGGTTCGCCACTTGTATGAATGGTTTCTCACAAAAATGCAGAAGACGTATTTTCACCATTTCGCGTTTGATATGTTCTTTCATTCGAAAAGAAATGTTGCCGTCACATTTGCTTTTATGATTCTGTCTGTTTTTATGCTTGTTATCTGGTTCCTTTTTCTAATAACAACTGTCAAACTATTTGGATAGTTGAACTTTGCAATAAGTTTAATTAAAATATCACAATTCATTTCGCAATATATTTCGTACTAGATCGCTACATATGAAATGAATTGTTTATTATGGTTTCCTATTGATAGGTCAAAAAACTTGGAAAATTTCATCTCAACAAAATGAAGTTGTGCGTCTGAAAGTGTAGTCTCCATTTTCAGTTTGATATGTTTATCGTTCGGAAAAAAATGTTGAAGACAGATTTGTTTTTTTTCGGATATTAGTTTCGTTTCTTAAAAAAGCTTTCAGGATAGTTTAAGACATTCCACGTTATAATTTTAAATAAATGTCACAACTTCTATGTACAGAGCGCAAAACAAAAAGCGGACTGCCCAGAATAACTTTTGGCCCAATGATCATATCTTCACATTCTAAGACTCAATCTTAATAGTTCGAGAGGTTGACCTCAAATATGCTAATTAATTAGTGCAGACCTCAAGTTACATAAAAACGTATTTTTTCTAAATAAACATAACGTTTTTTTCCTCGGATTTCTGATCACCGAAATAGCCTCTATCTGGGAAATATGGTCCCCATAATTTGATCAGGAGAGAGTTTCAAGCTTCGGACCGTCTATTGATAATTTTATTTTTGTAGTTTTTCACCATATCTCGAGA